TCATGATTCCAATAAAGATTTCGAATGGGACTTGGTGGGTAAAACCATTAAGGCTCACTTCATATGAATTCTTGGATATAGGTCAAAAAGAAGTGATCAGGACTTGGTGGCAAAAACCATTAAGGCTTGTTTCATGGAAGCCTGTGTAATCTTGATCAATAATCTTTCCCTTAAAAGTAGATTTTTTGACTCAAGAGAGAACTTAAAAGAGAGAAAAGATAGGAACTAACTTTTACCTGTAGGTCCAGATACTTGTTTGAGTTTCCTTGCACCTTGTGATCGATACTCCCAAGATAAAGCCAACACTTTTATTTTATGCAAAGAAATGAGGTTAGTTGAGGGGAATGTCAGATAGTATTTGCTAAGTTGTTGGTTAGATGAATATGGTTGCTAAGCTAGGATATTGCATAATGAACTCCTGTGATTAGAATGTCTTAGATGTGGATTGCAATATTAAAGAGGTTATGATTTCAAAGTTTTTAAATCAGTGAGTCCCTATTCTTTTCAAACCTCTTTCAGAGAGACTAACTGTTTGTTTTGTTTGAGGATAAGCAAAAATGTAAGTCTAGGGGAGTTGATATACCATGATTTTGACCATTTTTTAATCATGGTATATTAGTGTTTTTTACTACTATTTACTATACTATAGAAGCTTTTTAGCATATTTATGAGTTCAGGAGTATTTTGGAAGAAACTGATGTTTTTGGAGCATTTTGGAGAGAATTCGAGGAAGCGCTCGATTCAGACTCGATCGCGAGGTCAACACAGAGAGACCCGAATCGATTGACATGCATCCTGCATGATCGATCGATTATCAAGACCCAAGAGCCAATTCGAGAGCCAAGTTAACTTGAAGCCCAAGCATCACCAAATGAAAATTTTACCCCTGACGAGTTTTAACCTAAGATTATATATTTTGCCAAAGTGTTAAAGGCAAAAGAGAGGAGAATAGAGAGACAGAAATAATACACAGAGATTTTTTCATTCTCTTGATAGCAAGTTTTAGGGTTTTATAGTTTGGAGAGAATATCTTCAGAGATTTTTGAGATTGGAACTCCAGTGCTTTCTACCTCTTTATTTATCTATAATATGCAGTTTTATTTATTTATTTGTGTAATGAATTACTTAGCTACGTCTGAGTAGTTTACTTGTTAGATTTAGGGTTTAAATAGGTTAGAGGGATTAGCCCCAACTATAGAATTGCTAGTTGTGATATTAATTGATAGGATGTTCTAATTGCTCATGGTTCTAGAGTAGCTAACTAGAAACATTGAATCCTAGATTATTTAGGTTGGATTAGAGACATTTAAGTGAATCTAGATATCTTGAACACATCCGTATTAAGCTAAATTTTTTTAGATTTAGAAATCTTTAGTGAGTTTAGGTTAACTCGTGTGTATTGCTTGACCGGAGTCATCGATCGATCTTCCTATCAGAAATCGGTCGATGATGAGTTAGTGTATCGGTCGATTGTCCTATAGATAATTGAGCGACACTGTCAATCTCGGCCATCTGGTCATTAGACATTTGAACGTTAGTTCAAGTAAATTGTTCAACAGAATAGTTAATACTCTGTAGTATCTCGCAAGCAACTAGATATCATCCTATAGAATTATAATCCTGAAAACCTGAATAAAAACCCTAAGTTTGGCATATTTTCTATTTTATTTTTAAAAGCCTAAATTTCCATTCTGATTAAGTAATTGTCGTGCTTAATTGGAATATTTCCCCTTTTTGCTAATTTATTGTCTTACTATTTATACATTCACCTAGAGTATTATTTAACTAGATCTATTAGATTCCTTAAGTACTACAGGCAAACCTCTTATTTGAGAGAGTAATTCACTCCTTAGGGTAATTTGAGTGATATCATCGATGCACTAGCTACGATTGGTGTCGATCGATGCTGAATGTTGTCCATCGATCGATGTCGGATTCTCTTTCATGAGAAACTAGAAAATATCAGCGTGCTCCAAAGCAAGACCACATTACTCGATGAGTTATTTCTCGCGGTAATCCTCATCATACTTGTCATGAATAAAGTTGATCTGAATCTGGTTGTTGTGTGTCGATCAATTCTGAAGAGTGAGTATCGATCGATTGCTGAACTGCAGGACTGTCGATCAATAATATGGGTTGGATGTCGATCGATCCTCCATCATCTAACTCCTCGTTTCTCCTATAATCACAGAATCATGTAGCTATGAGACCTGGTTACCCAGTTCAATGAGAGTATATCTATTCTTAACAGGTTCATAATAGATATTTTGATTAATCAAAGAGAGATACAACTTGTTTGTTGTCATGTTGCAGACAAGTCCCACTGTACCCTTGAAAACTCTTCCACGTAGTAGGGAAGAGTTCCAATCTATCTGAATATCCATAACTTGGAAGTCTACTGGGACTAAGGCATTCTGAATCTGCAGTGGGACATCTCTCACCATACCTCCTCAACTCACCTTGGAGCAATCCACAAAGGTGAAAGAATCACTGTAAGACTCCACTTTCAGGTTCAGCTACTCTGCCATGGCTCTAGACCTGATCCTCACTGATGATCCAGTATCACAAAGGACATTGGGATATTTGTGCCCCTTTATGAAACATGGAATCACAAACTTCCAAAGATCACTTTTCTTCTTGAGATATATCCTCTGGTTAAGCTTCTGTTTGAGGTGGTTGAACATTCTCTCAATTTCCTCATCTGTCTCCTTGGATTCCCTGAAAAACATATACAATCTATGAGTATAATAAGCTTCACCAAATGGAGTATCTAAAGGAATTTTAAAAACTCTTTTGGCAAAACCATCCATCTCTTTTTCATTCGCTTCTCTGGGAAGATGTTTGGGAATCTTATACTTCCTTCTAGAGTGTGTTCCCATTACCTTGTCAAACATAATGCGTTCTAAAGTGTTTGTGTTATGCTCAGAAGTGTATGTAGTCGAATTTTTAACCAGAAAGCTTGCATTGATTCTCGGTAAGTGAATTGGTTCGGCTGCAGGGTTCCATCGATCGATGCTTCTATCCTTATGTCAATCGATGTTGGAAGATTCACACAAAACCATTGACTATGCAGTTTCCGTCGATCGATTCTCAGCACTGGGTGTTAATCGACACCAATGCGAACTTCTGAAAGACATAACATTTTTTACACATAAATCTTCTTCTTGGAGCATTTCTCTCTTAATCCCTTGCAAAAAATCATTATCAATCAGTGCATTGTCGTGGTGCTTGTGTCCAGCATCTTCCTTCCCTTTAAAAATGACCTCATGTTCCTTATGGCCTCACTTGTCTTGAGTACTGGTTCTCCAACTTCTTCACATGGGTGTTGAGGTTGTCAAACTTGATGTTTAGGTTGAGATACAAAGCATCTATTTTTCCATTAAAGTTTACAATCATCTGGTGCTGTCCCTCAAACTCTGTCAACCATTTCTTCTAACTTGCTATCCTGAGTCTCTACAGGTGGTCTCTGGTAGTAAGAAGATCCATAGGTCTTGTTTTTGTTGTTTCTGTATGGCCTCTGTTGATGTGAATCCTGGTTGCAGTTACCCTTCTGACTACTACCATAGGAGTTTCTGCTGAAACCTTGATTCCCAGATATTTGGAAACCGTTTTTCCACCAACGTAATTAACATTCTCTTCTTCACTTTCAGCTTCTATAGCTTCTTCTTCCTCCACAAAACTGACTTGTTTCTTGAGTAGTTTGTTAATCTTGCCCTAACTTCATCAATCTGTTCTCTGCTGGGTGTTGGGGCCGATTTCTTCCTCTCATAATAAGTGTTCTTGGTGTTGTTGCTGGATTCAGATTCTCAATAAGCCTTGTACCCTCTTCAGGACTTTTGGTGCTGAAATGATCCTCACTAGCTGTGTCTAGGGCTATCTTGTACTGCAGATCAATACCTACGAAGAAAGTGCGAAGCAGTTGTACTTCATTAAATCTATGGTGTGGATAGTCGCGCTGGTAGGATTTGAATCTAGTCCAGAAGTACTTGAAAGACTCTGCAGGCTCATGTGTGAAACTGATGTTAGAACTTTTCAAGGGTCCTTAACCAAATGATGTAGTATAGAAAGGTTATCGAACCAATCCTAAGTAATTCTAAAGCAGAAGGAATACAAGACCATACTCAAGCTAAGTGCAATCAATAAGTGAAGTGATATTGAACTATAAATATGCTAGAAATGCAATAAATGAACAAGCTTTCTTTCTTAATGAGATGGGAGAACTCATGGGAATAGGGAATTGAGCTTGGGTGATCAAGCTTCAATCTAAAGGTGGTAACTTTTAATCAATCTATCAACCTTAAGCCTAGACACAATCCTAAACAAATTCTTTCTCAAGATGAATTGTTCATTTGCTAAAATAACTCAAGCATCAAATCTCTTTGGTTGAATGTTATCAAAGGAATCATTAATAACAAGTCTATTAGTTATCCTAACACCTTTTACAACATATATCTTTGGTAAAGAATGTTAAAAGCATTGTGATGTTAGTTCAGGCATTTCAACAAACACTTTGTTGGTGGGAAATGCCTAAAGCTCTATTTGGGAGAGGCCAACTCCTAAATAGCTTTAAGATCACCCAACAAGCAAGGAATAAGAAGGATCTACAATGAAGACCCTAGAAATACACTTAATCACCCTTAATCTCCCTAACCTATGAATCCAAAAGTGGTCTACTCACTAATCTTCATGATTAAGCTTAAACCCAAGATAGATTCAAGACTAATCATGTTAAGAAAATGAAGTAGATTCAAATTACTCAAGAAAAATATATTATACTAAAAGATTCAAGCTTTGTCCCAAAAGAAGTTTTTGCTTAGAGAGAATTTAATATAGATCTAAATATTAATAGGCTAGTTAAGTCAAACCGGATCAACCCGACAAACCCGGATCGACCCGTTTATGTTTGGGCGGATAGGCCGGCCGGCGGGCAAGGCTGGCCGCTGGCTGTCTGGCGAGCAAGGCTTGCCGCTAGTGCTGGACGCAAGGACACGCAAGAACGGATGGATGTGGCATCATGGTCGCTGGCGGGCAAGGCTGGCCGTTGCGTCTGGACGCTGGATCATGGGCGGGCGAGATTGACCCCCTGGCTTGGACGCTGGGAAGCTGGCGGGCAAGCTTGGCCGCTTGGTCTGGACGCCAGGGGCATGCAAGGACGAGAATGGTGTTTGGTTGAGGCTGGCGGACAGAACTGGCCGTCAGGTTTCCTCGAGTACTGATATGTGTCCAGTAAATTAGCCATAACTCTTAGCATACAACTCTGTCCGACCTGAGACCACTTCCATTGGAAAGGTTACTCAATTTCCTACTTGCAGAATATTAGTAACAGAAGACATCTTTAAGGCATTCATCCATGTTTATCTTTCATCCCCTTTTGGATTACAATGCTCCCAAACACCTCCAATCACTCCATGGCACACTCCAACACCTAATAAGGACATATGAATGCAATATGGACCAGAAGATGCCTAATAACTAATCTACATGATCAAAATATACAAGAATGAATCGCTACAATCATATAAATATGCAAGATATGAACTCCCCCAAACTATTATCTTACTTGTCCTCAAGTAATTTCATTAACATCAAAGGGAAAGAGGATTGAAAATGGGAGCTCAGAACCTAAAGATAAACTTCTTAGACTTCAATATCACATCCTAGAAAAACATAACTATAGCATGAGCAATCTCTTTAGTGCACTCTATCTTCTCAAGGCCTATAGACTCTTACCTTTTCACAAGCTGATGGATCACCAACCAACATTTCTCCTGAACCAAATCTCACATTCAAATGGAAATTTGATCTCAATTATTTGGCTTGGTAAGTGGAATGGCTCAATGAGGATAGAAGAGGGGTTTTAACTCATTTATTTCTAGTGGCTTACATTCACGAATAGGAGGTTGATCATTATGCAAAATTTAGCTAAGAAATTGAGCAACTCATGCATGCATTGCTTGTTCTTATCATTCTACCCTTTCCTAGACACTTTTAAATTCTACCCCTTCTCTTGGTGTTAATCCCAAACTCATTCCATCCTAAAGAGTTTTAAGATCACTCTCTTCTTCACTTACCCAATGAACACTTTCTTTTTCTTGCAAATGGAAATTTGATCTCATTCATTTGACTTGGTAAGTGAAATGGATCAATAAGGATATAAGAGGGGTTTTAGCTCATTTATTTCTAGTGGCTTACACTCAAGAATAGGAGGTTGATCATTATGCAAAATTTATCTAAGAAACTAAGCAATTCATGCATGCATTGCTTGTTCTCATCATTCTACCATTTTCCTAGACACTTTTCAATTCTACCCCTTCTCTTGGTGTTAATCCCAAACTCATTCCATCCTAAAGATTTTTAAGATCACTCTCTTCTTCACTTACCCAATGAACTCTTTCTTTTTCTTTTCTTTGAACCAACTAGGGGCTCTTTTTTCTTTCATTCTTAAATTTATTCTTATTCTTCTTTTTCTTTGCCCAAGTAATTTCTTGATTCTTTTGGTTTCTTTTTTTTTTTATTCTAAGAGGTTTCAATTTGATGATTCTAGAGCTTTTTTGTTTTGTTTTGGTCCCTAGTGTCTCTTCTTTCTTTTATCTTTCTTTGGTTCATTCCTTTCACTTATCTATCATCTCAAAACCCAAGATGACTCTTTGTACTACAATATTACACATCCCATCCTAATTGCTAGCTCACATGAGGTCCTATAGCTAGCCAAATATGAGAACAACCAATATCGCCCCCAATACTCTCAAGATTTTCCACATGACAAGCTATCAAGATAAAGGCCTCTTTCAAGAAAATATGATTTAGGCTTCTGATGTTAGGAGTTTTCAAGGATCCTAATCAAATGATGTAGTATAAAGGATGTCAAACCAATTCTAAGTGATTCTAAAGAAAAGGAAATGCAAGTTCATGCTTAAGCTAAGTGCAATCCAGTTTTAAAGATGGTATGAACTAAGAACTAATAAGCTAATGCAACAAAGGGATGATCTTTCTTTCTCAAAATGAAAAAAAAGGACTCATGAGACTAGACATTTGATCTTGGGTGATATAGATCCAATCTAAAGATGGAAGGCTAGAAATCAAACACTTTCCTTATGCCTAGACACAATCCTAAACAAGCTCTCTCTCTAGATGGATGTTCTTTTACCAAAGCAACTCACGCATCCGATGTCTTAGGTTGAATGTTACTAAAGCAAACATGGAGAATAAGCCTAATAGCAATCTTAACTTCTTTAGCAACTAATATCTTAGGTAAATCAAGTTGAAAGCATTAAAGAGTTGGTTCATGCATTTCATCATACACCTTGTGGGAAGTAAATGCCTAGAGATCCATTTTTAGTATGATCAAGACTAAAATGGCATTGAGAACCCTCAACAAGCAAGGAAACAAGTAAATATAACACTAAACACTCTATATCTTCTCTAATCATCCTAAATCACCCTAGCCCATGAATCCAAAAGGAGTCTACTCACTAATCTTCATGATTAACCTTAGAGCAGCTGCAACGCGGATACGTCGAGGATCCTTAGCGTATAATCCTTAGGGTTATATGAATATAATACTCTTATTTACTTTAATTAATCTAAGGATAAATCCTTAAAGAAGGATTTAAAGAGGCTGATCCTTATCAATGTGGCAGTTGAAACTTCAAGAGAATCATCCTCAGAGAATCATCCTCAGAGAATGAAGACGCCCACTCACCGGCGATTCCAGAATCTCCGCCACCACATCCTCCACTTTCTTTGATTCCAAGAGCTAAGATCGCAACGACGACAGTGGAAAACGCAGCTTCCTTGATCGACAAGACGATGCGTCGGGCGCTCGTGTACCAGAATACGATCTTGGAGACGCTAGATTCCACAATCGACGCCTCGAAATCTCGATTCAACCAAATTCGAGATACTTCAATCGCTCACACCAGCCAAAAAATCGTAAGCGACTCTAAAAATCCATATCATATGATTGATTCTCAATGTGATTCTGAGTGATTTGATTTTTGGGATAATAGGATTCTCTTAGATAGATTGTTTCTGAGTATAACATTTACGAGCATATGGTGTTTGCGAAGATCAAAGGTTTGTTTCTACACTCTTTGCTTGCTATAGTCATCGTTGTTGTGATCTTATTGTCATGTATGTTTGTGTACAATTGGTGTAAATGTTGCTGCATCACATCCTCTAATATCAGGCGGTTTAGCTTTTGGTGTTTGGATCTTTGCTCTGTAGAGTGTTTTCTTGATATGCTTTTATACACTCTCTAGATTTTAATGCACTTTAGTGAATGGCTATGTTTGTTTGCAGAGACGAGAATATTTGTATACTACAATACTTTACGCATGCTATCAAGCAAAGAGGTCAGTGTTATTTACAACATTGTTGATGAGTTTATAAGCTTGTATGTATGCCTGTGGTTGAAACTTGTTCTTGAGTCTTTGACTCTTGACTCTATGTTTTTGGATTCAGGCTTTGCTTTCTAGAGTGGATCTTAGAGTAAAAAAGCTAAGACAATCATTGGATCGTCTTACAGCTGAAAGTGAAAAGTTAGAGGTTAGTCTTTTTCTCTTGTTTCACCATGAGGTTGCCCGTAATGGTATATACTTCCTATGTATTCTGTTAGTTAGCTTGAAGTAGAATGTCAGATGTTTAGTATGAAAATAATAAGGGGCCAGGTCTCAAACAGAGAACTCTTTATGTAGCTTAGCCAAGGATGGTGTTGCTCTAGATTCATATGGATGGATACTTACCTATACTTTCAGAGAAATTAAATGTTCTGCTGCTTGAGTCCAACTTTTCTTTCTGGCAATGCACCTAAGTTTCATTTGTCTTATGTGTGATATATATATATATATATATATATATATATATATATATAATACCTAATGATTCCATAATGGATAACACCATTGGAGCAACATTTGTCATTAGGGTCCTTAACTATTTAAAAAAAATAAAAAAATAAATATTAATCTAATCCTAAAGAACTCCAGCGGTTGGTAACACCATTGGAGGTGCTCTTAAACCCATGGTTGATTTAAGAGAAATTATGTTGAGAAAAAAGTTTAATCAAACAATCAAAAAGAAGTAAGAAGAAAAGAAACTAAAGATTCAATATTTCTTCAAAGTTTCAGTGTGTTTTTTAGAGAGAAAAGAAGATACATTAGGGTTTTTGGGTCTAAATCTATATATAGAGAGGTAAAATTCGTCCTGGTTTGGCCTTACAAACAAAAGTCAAACCTTACTAAACCGGGTCAAAAATTTGATTTCCCAAATGGGTAAGCACAGCGGCTTCTTTCTCCTGCTCCATGAAACTGCTCCCGAGCTCGCAGCGGTTACCTTGAACCGCTCTATTATGTCGATATCAAACAGGGAGGTGGAGATTCATATTGTTTCAATAATTTTTATGATTATTATAAATACAAAAAAAGATAATTCATATTGTTTTTTTTTGTTTGAGCCATTGATTGATTCAAAATCAAAGGCCCAAAATAAATCTTTTATCTATCCTCGTCCTTGTTTTTTATTGGTTAGGTGTGGATCACCCTTTTGCACCATTGGATGAAATTAAATCAACGACTGAGATTAATTGTTCATTTTTCTCTTTTTTAAAAAAAAAATATTTTCTGAGATCTGTTCATATCTCGTGTCTGAGAAGAAAGAGAGAGACGATTGGGTAAGCAAGGCATATCATCTTCTCAATCGATGGTTATGGCCTACTCCTTCTGGCCAGACCTTGCTCCAGTGCCGTCACCGGAATCTGTATCGTCACCGGCGCATACCACGGTGGACGGGATGAGTCAAACCCAATGAGAGAGAGAGGAGAGGAGACCGGGAGAATAGAGAGGAGATGGAGTTCGGCCGGTCAGCCTCTCATTGTCTGAAGCTGCTCTAGACCACTACCTCTCTTCTCTCAATACCATCAGCGATGGCTAGGTCTCCAATGATTTGCAGAATAAGTCAAATCTCTGACAGTTTGTCTCTTTCTTCTCTCATTATCTATGCTTTACCTTACCATTTCCTCTTTGATCCTAGGGTACGAAATCAATTTTTATAAATGAGACATTTTCACTGAACTTTTCTAGGTTATATCAGAAAGGAGAAGAAAGTTGAATGGAGCCTCCAACGGGAGTACTGTCATCTCTGTGGCGATTCATAATCTTCATTCCTTATTTCACCGGCTTACTCCTTCTGGGTATTGTTAAAGGTGATAACTTTCACTTAATCCTACTCGAATTCGTTTCTTATTTCATTTCATTTGTTTTTTGTCATTCAATTCACCATTTCATTAGTCCAATTCTGAATCTTTATGAGACATGTTTTATCTGGGGGTTTAAATTTATTTTGTGAAATTTCCGATTAATGAATTTTTATTAACAATTGCATATAAAATGCGCTATTGTTGTACGCTTAATTATAGCACAGAGAAAACCGCTACTAAAAGGGTCAGACCTATTATAACGGGCGATGTCAGAGCGGACAAGGAAGCGCTATTATAAATGAATAATAGCGTTTTCTGTCCGATATTACTACCCACATTTCCTGTAGTGACACAAGCACCAGAATCCACAAGAGTATCATCAAGTGTGAAGTCACCAAGTGAGAAAGGTAGTGTGAATTTCACTTGATCTTCAAGCTTTGGAAGAGACTTTGGTGGAACTTGAGGATCTATCAAAGATGTAAAGATGTTAAGAAGCTCTGTCACCTCTTCCTTGTGAGCGAAGATGTCCTTTATGAGCATCAGTTGGACATAAGCATCTTGCATATTGAAGATCTCTGGGAGTTCGACTCCAACATCACACAACACTTTTCTGAATTTGGAGATCACCTTCTTGTGAGCTTTAGTGACGACCCTCTTTGAAAATGGGAGCTTATCATAACGAGATATTTTAACCTCATTGGTTCCATGAAGCACAACTTCTTTCAACCTCTGGACAGCTTCTTTATCAACTGATTTCTCAGCTGTTTGCGCAACTTGCTTCACAATCTTGTCCTCAACTCGTTGTTCAACCTTCACTACAGCAGGTAGCATAGCTTTGTCCACGACCTTGGCTTTAACCTTCTCGACAACCTGAGCATCAGCCTTGAATACAATATGTCTATCATCCTACACAAGTCCGGATTCATAGAAGAGTCCTTCAATCTCATCTACCTCTTTCTCATGATCATTCAATTCAGTCTCAAAGATAGCAGCAGAGATGAAAACATTGCAATGGTCTTTCCCTGGGTGCTTAGAGGTGGATGTCATAGAAGAAAACTGGTTCTCCAAAGCTATGATCTTGTTGTTGAGCTCATTGTAGCTTCCGTTAATTATAGAGTGGATGTTCTTGAACTCATAACACATTGTCATCTCTTTTGTGGCTTGAAAATCCAAGAGTTTTTTGAACATGGAGTCCACACTCGAATCTGAAGCTGGAGCTGGAGAAGAGCTTCCTTGAGCTTGAGTAGATAGATTGCCTTGGTTGCTAAAACCATGAGGGTAGTTCTCCCTAGTGATCGACCATGGATTTTACCCATTTTTAGCCATGGTCTATAGGTGTTTTCATACATATTTACTACAATATAAGTCTACTTAGAGTATTTACAGGTTCATGTACGATATGGAGTAAAGTGGTGATTTTGGTGTCTTTTGGAGCCTTTAACTGCAGAACTGCGCAGATGCGTCAGATGTTTAGATTTGGATGGAGACCTTCCCATGGTGCGATTTAGCTGATCTTTGGAAAAAGATAGAGCTTTGAGTTAGCTTTCCAATGCCACTGGTTTGGGGTCAATCCAACAGTTAGATCAGAAGTTATGCCCGTTATACTAAAGAATGGTCAGTCTGCCTCGCGAGAGAAAGCTGCCGAGAAGATATGTTCATGTCGATCGATGGGAGACACTTCACATCGCTCGATATGAATGCCAGAACGTGGGCTGACTTTATTTCATGACCGACTGAAGCCCATAAGATACAACAAAGTTACCAAAATATCCTTGACGACTTGAAACCCTATTTATGTTATTTCTAAGCCATTGTTGACGGCTACAGAAGCTATCTAAGTTTTTCTAAGTTCTTTTATATTGTTAGGAGAGAAGGGAGGAACTCCTATCAGAGTCCTCCTGGAACTCCATTGGTTTTTGTTTTATATTATTTATGTTCTTCTTCTATTCATCTATGATTTCTGTGACAATCTTCATGTCTGAATAGATCCACTTGTTGGATTTAGGGTTCAGATAGGTTGTGGGATTAGCCCCAACTATAGATTTCTAAGTTGTGATATTCATTATCATGATGAACACTAATGCTTGATTCTAGAGTCATGAGCTAGAACCATGAAGATGATGGCATTAATTCATTAATCATCATTTTGATATCATTCTGTATAAGCTAAGATCCTCTAGGGATAACCGAGAGCCAGTCTATGATCTTGGTGGGCACTATTTCAACTCGATATGAAGGTATATCGATCGATACTCCTATAGAGTAATCGATCGACGACAAGTATATATCGATCGATATTGTCTGTATCAGATTCATGGACGAGTCTAGACTGCGAAAGCTGATAGATTCATCTAAGAGTTGAAGCTCTTTAATATCATGCATGCAACTTGTTAGGCATCTATAGCATTATAATCCTGATTACCTGAATAGAAACTCTAGACCTAGCAACCATCCTTCCATCAAACAAATCCTTGCCAAGCTGAATAATTACCTTGTCCGTCTTGTTTACTTTTTCTAGTTCACTAATTTATTTACTGCATTATTACCTATTAGCCTAGCTTAATCACATAACTATTAGATCTATTAGGTTCCCTATCTCCGTGTGGATTCGATCCCTATGTACTACTATTGAACCTCTTATTTGAGAGAGTAATTCACTCCTTAGGGTAATTTGAGTGACATCAAATTTGGCGCCGTTGCCGGGGAGCTTTGATCGCCATTAGATCTTATCTAGTTAGATTTAGTCTAGGTTTTGTTACTGTTCTAAAATACTGATAAATGTTTTCTTCTTTTTCAGGTACATACATCTCAGTACCAGGAACAATGAAGAGAGGATTTCTAGTTCCTTCCAGGAAGGAGCCTGCTGGTTCACGCAAGATCCGTAAGTCTACGAGGGATGTATCGATCGACACCCTCCAAGCAGAATCGATCGACAGCGTACACCAGACATCGATCGATAAGTCACACCATCAATCGATCGATAAGCTACAAGCAGCAGTGATCGATAGAGCCAAACAACCTACAAGCAACACTGTTCACTCGGCTACTGTTCATCACGCTACTGTTCATCCGATATCGATCGACACTGTTTACCACAGGTCGATCGACACTCATAGTCGAAAATCGATCGACAAAGCCTCGCTGGGAGCAAGTAAGTTTTCTGTTAACACATATGTTAATCAGGAAGTAGTCCAAATTGAACCAATAGGTAAAATAAGCAATGTAATTAGCCAAAATAAAAATAAACATGGGACCAAAATCCCTGTTACAATCCATTCCACCTTGAATAAAGGTGAAGAAATAAAATTGCCTTTGCAAAACTACAACACCCATGTTCCCCTGAAATTGATCGACACGACTCACAACGCGTCGACCGATACTGCCCACCCAAAATTGATCAACCGATACATCCCGTGTTGACTGATACTGTTATCCT